CCCCAATCAACCATCATTTCGCCCAATGAAGCTAACCATGTCATACCCAATATCATGTCAATATCTTTCAAATCGAACAGCACTGCATTCATCTTAAATTTCTCCCCATCAACTTCAATTTCGATTCCATGAAAAACTCCTTAAGGTAACAACCTGAGTTTGAATAAATGAGACTTCTAATTTACATATCATTGAACATTGATTTTATTATCTTTGTGAATGTACTTGCCTTTAGGACACAATATCAGCTTCTTCAACTGTCCCTGCAATGACTGCTAGTATAGATCCTAGGCTTGCTTTCATTTAATTATTGTCAAGGATGGATATTGAAATACTCTAGGGTCAAGATTGGTAAATATCTTCAATAAAATCGGTGCACTTAATTCCTACTCAAACGGAATTTAAACCAATTAAATTCAAAATCTAATCTCAGTATCTAAATTTGTGAGAACAAATTCTCATTAATAATGCCAAATCACAAACATGACTGCATTAATTCCTTGCTTATATTCTATTCCCACAAGCAAATAGAGTTGTATACATAATACCAATGACAACTATCAAATCGAAAAGAAAGGACTCCTTCACAATTTCAGATTTTTGAAGCCAAACAGAGTTGAATCATACCTCAAAGAAATACCTTCAGCAACGGACTTACACGACAAGACCACTACGTTTCGGGAAAGCTCCTCCGGGGAGCGTCTCCAAACCCTAAACCATCAACTCTCATTTGTACAACATCAGAGACGCAACAAGAAATAACAGACAAAATTAAAATACGCAATTACAAGGGTTTCAATGTTTACCTAAAATGGTCGTCGAAGAGGGCTTCTTCAACGAGCCTATTAGTGTATGGAAACATCAGCTTCGAAGATCAGCGAGCCTGCTAGTGTGTGATTCGCGCGAGCTAGGTAGCTTCAAAGTTCAATCTATGCTAGCGTGTGCGAAGTTCAATCTGTGATAGTGTGTGATTCACACTAAAGGTACTATGCTTCCAAGTGGAGAAGAGCGTGTTTGAAACTCTTCAAAGGCGCTAAAGGTACTATGCTAGCGTGCGAAAAGGAGATAACAAATTGCTCATCTATTCTACATCAGTTAAAAGGAAACCCGAAGTAGAATACTTCATTTTTACACCGGTTTTAGTAAGAACCGATGTAAATATGCTTATATTTTCTATTTAATTACAAGTTTGCCACCGCACATATTTTTTACATCATTTCTTGGAGAACCGATGTAAATATAGCGACGTTGAACAGCATTTTCCTAGTAGTGCACCTAGGTTGCATGGTCTTATCATGCACCTAGTTGTAGCTTAGCCAAACCCAAAGATTCCATCCTTGGCCACCAAGTAGCATCTAGGGTTTAGTTTGGGTTTCATTTGAAGTGCATTTGGCATGAAAATTTCGGTCATACACTCCCAAATGCAACCCTAAATGCTCCCTCCCCTACAAATACCCTAAACCATGCACCTTGTAAAAATACTTTGGAAATTGAATATAGAGAGAGCCTTTGAGCCTTTATATTTTCCTTAATCTCCTTGGCTATTTTCGGCCACCACCCTACCATCTCCACCTTGAGAGAAACAACCCTAGAAGTGACCTTCATCACCATGAAGTGAGCCAACCATAGAGTACCTTTCTCAAGCCTTTCATCAAAAACCTTCTACCCAACCTCCAAATCTTTCCATTCCATCATCATCTTCCCTAAAACCTTGTGCCACCTTGAAGAACTTGATCCTTGGAGCAAAGGTTTCCGTCCTTGTTCATCATCTCACATCCATGCAAGCAAGGATGCCATCATGTGGTATCTAGAGCCTTGGTTCTTCAAGGGTAACATTTTTGTCTCTTTAAATTCGGTCATGTCTAATTTGAGTCTTCTTGTTTGTCTTCTAATTTGTGCGTGATTGAGTCATCATCTTACCATATGTCATGATTCATATTCCTCCTTTCATGTATTGATTCAGGCCTCATCATTCTTGTGAATCATCTTAGTGCTTTAGGCTTCCTGGCTAGGGTAACTACCATTTTTTCTTTAAATTTTAGTTGCTGGAAAATTTTGGGCTGCATGATATAATGATGTTTTTAATTTTATAATCCATCCAGTTTTGTCATAAACTTAACTCCTTTGAACTACCTTCAAAGAAATTCCAAGTTTTATGCTTAGCCATTGAAATAAGTAAAATATGACATGCCTTCCACTTGTTTGTTTAAATGGTCGTGAGTCCTTGATGTACTTTAGAGAGTCAATCATGCATGCTAATTAGTTCTAGCATGTTCTACATTCCTAAAATATCATGTGTGATTAATTTATTTGCACATACTTGCTTAAAAATTTTCGGCCACTTTGTGTATTCCTTTGTGCACTTGATATGCCTATGAATTGTTTGATATTTTTTAGTATGAAAATGACTTTTATGTGAAAATTCTTGTTGCTAGACATTGCACATTAAAAACCTTAAGAAAACACTCAAAACTTGTCTCTTTAAGCCATTGTAAGTTGCTAAGAGGATACTTCAAGGACTTGCTCATCAAACTAACAAGACACAAGTGTAAAACCCAAACAAAGGAGAACTACAAAATTCAAAAAAAAAAAGAGAATTGCCTGGACTTTTGGACCTCAAAATCGTGACCTAGTCAAATATCAAAAGGAACAAAAGAAACAAAAAAATTAAAAAAAAATCAAAGACAAAAGAAAAAAGGAACCTTTGCTAGACTTGTGGAGTTTTGGACCAAATTTTTCATACCTTGGCACTTGGAGTTATTCTTGGACTTTTGGACAATGGTTATTGACCTTATGAGACATTTAATCAAACACATTAAGTGCATTAGTTTCTTTTAAGCCTACTTGTTGAATTCTATTCTATTTCCATTCTAGGACTTATTCTTTTGTGTGCTTGCCTTTCTTAATATGCCTTAATTTTAGTTTTGTGTCTTCTTTCTACTATTAAGTGTGTCTCATCAATTCCACTTTGAGTTTAGCCTTTTCTTGATTGTGCCTTTTTATTTTTTCTTCCTTGGCCTCTTGTACTCTTAGGTTTTGGTTTCTTCTTGACCTAGGTGAGGAAAGCTTCTAAACACCACACACTTTCTTGGTGGATTGAGTGGAGGGTCTGTCCGAATTGAGTTCAAGGTGCTTTGGAGGATAACACCAAATCAAAAGAGAGCATACACCATTGAAAGGCTAACCTTGGGTGTCCCTTATGAAGGGGTGGAGATTTGAAGACTTAAAGACTCAAAATTTTCTTTTTTTCAATTGTTTCTTTCTTGTTAAATTTTTGGCCTTTGTATTTTGGGCCTTTGCTTTCATTAGTTTTGGGTTGTAATTGGCCATTTTTAAACCTCTTCATTTTAGGGTAACTCGAAGTAGTTCTTGTGGGAGTGACTTGAATACCACCAAGGTCATTTCAAGCTCCCACCCTAGGAAATCCTAGAATGGCTCTAGAGTAGAATTAAGTGTTTAGTATTTTTTGTCTTTATAATTTCATGTCCATCATCCCAAGTCTAGCCAAGGTATTCGTCCAAGTCCAACCAAGGTTTAGGTCTCAAATAAGGTCCAAAATTAGTCCAAGTCCAAGTCCAAATGTGCAAGGGTATAATGGTCCAAGTCCACAAGTCTAGCAACAATTCCTTTTAAATTTTTTTCTTTTCTTTTCTTTTTTTTTTCAATTTTCACGCCAGCTTTTTGGGCAGCACATAGGGTGGTGGTTTACAAGGTTGGACAAAAAAAGGAAGAGGACAAAAAGGACTAGTAGCATGAAAATGGCATATTTTGGGTGAAGTGTTCGGTACTTTTGTCCTCTTGTTAGGTGCAGTTTTTGTGCAGTATGATCAGAAAATTTTCAGACTTAGACTCACTTGGTTGACTCACAAAATGGACAATAAGACAAGGGGTGATGGTGGCATGCAAGAGTGGCTAACCATAAATGTGCAAGATACAAATTCCACATAGAAACTCAATAAATCTTGGAGCATGTTAAGGACTAATTATCATGCAAGATTAACTTGTAAGATGGACATATATGGTTCAGCTAGCCACAAGGAAAGGAGTGTCATGCATCATTTTTCATGTTTTATGCAAACCAAGGTGTGTCATGCATAGATTTTGAATTTTAAGGAGAAAGAAAAGAGAGGGAAACATAAACTTTGACAAAACTTGAATGAGGAAAGATAAAAATAGGGTTCATGTAGTGTTCAAAATTTTCATCATGTTCTTGAAACAAAAATTTCCAACCAAGATAAAATAGAGAAAAGCACAAAAGAACCTATTTTAAGAGAAAACTAAAAGAGAACCAGGAGGGTCATGAACAAGCAATGAACCACTGAACAAGAACATAATATTTCAAACAAGTTTTTGAGAAGATAACATCAAGACATGTAAGAAGACATAGACATGACAAGGAAAAAAAATTTTAGAGACACAAGAGAAGAGACAAGTCACCCTTGAAGACAACCATGGCTCTTGATACCACATGATGGGCTCCTTCCTTCCATGGTGTGTTCTTTGGCTTCCAAGGAGGAGCTCCCTCTTTCTCCACGGACTAGGCAGAAGGATGATGGCTGGATCTTCCTTAAGGGTGGTGGAAAAATAATATTGAAGAGGTAGGGGTCAAGGTGGGCGAAAATGGAGAAGAGAAGGTGGAAGGTGTTTATGGTGCTCTTGGCTAGCTCTCTCCACCAAGGATTGGTGGAGGCCACTCAAGGGAAACTCAAACTCTCTTTAGGTTAGAGAGGAGAGGAGGTTGGGCATGAGGACCCTAGGAGACTAAGGAAGGATTTTGAGGCACAAAGGCTCACTCAAAATGCATATATTCCAAAGTAGGTACAAGGTGGAGAGACTAGAGTACTTATAGAGATAGGAGAGCATCCTAGGGTTTCTTGGGAGCATTTGGAGCATCTAGGGTTTCTTAGGAGTATTTGGCCAAAAATTTCAAGCCCAAATGCACCCTAAATGAACCCTAGATGCAACCCAAATGAAATGGTTCTCATCTCTCCAAAAAGTCTAAAGTACCCTTAGTCCTAGAAAATGAAAGAAATGGACTTTTGACCTCACAAGTCAAGGTTAAGTCCCTAAATAAACCCTGACTAATTTTTCCCCATAATACAAAGGCTAAATAAAAATACAAAATAAAATCCTAATATCTAATGTACCCCAAAATATAAGGGCAAGATAAGGAAGGAAAACAACAACCTAAGGAGAGGGCCCAAAATCCACACACATGATGATCATGGCTTTTGGTGTGGTGTGTTCTTGATCTTCCTCTACTCTCCTAGCCATGGACCTTGTGATAGGCCCTATATTATGTCTCAA